ATTAATTAACTTGATAAAGCGCTTTAACCCGCAGAATACAAATAGAGAGAAGCCCCCTTTCCTTCTTTTATATTTCCATTTGTGGAATAACCGAAATAAACATAAAGAGAGCCACACCAAGCCCACCACTGCGAACCGCAAAAACACCCACCACCCGCGCCCCACCCAGCTGGGGGGCTTGGCAAAGGAAAGAGCAATCTGTCGCCCTGCCGCGAGCCACGCCCCGCGCCCCCGCCACGCTCAGGGGGCTGCCGCGGTCCCTGGAGAGAGTTATCAAGTGAAATAGAAAAAATATCCGAGTCGTCGCCAAATCGCGTGTGCTGCTCGTCTAGTGATTCGTATTCGAGCGTGAGCGTCCCCACTGGACGCCCCCCCCCCCCCTCACCAAGGCATGATGAGCGATTTTCCATTCGAAACCGGCAATCACCGGCGAGATCGAACACGAATGCCTGTTGAATGGTGGAAGGGGTTGGTTACACGACGCGGCGGTGATATCATCATCTTATATTCGCCAGTGTCAGGTTAAATACGAGCACAGCGAAATCGTCCGCACGGGAAAAGGAGGGCAAAAGGGGAGCAGTGCGGGGGGCAGGCGAGGTTGAATTACTTCAATAATTTAAGACATGTCATTGGATCCCGGGCGGGGGAGAGCAGGGGAAAGATGAAACATTCCGGTTGGAGCCGCAACCACACCACACCAGGCCACGCCGCACCACGGAGCGCCGCACCGCGCTGAATGGGCGTGTCCTCCTGCTGCGATATCACGCGGTGCATTATTCATCCCTTACACGTTGATTAAGCGCGCCACCATTTCGACAGGCCACCCCGCTGCGTCGCGCCCCGCCGCGCCACCGCACCCGGCCGCACCCCACCGCGCCACGCCCCTACGCGCCTATGCTGAAAATCCGGACCTCTCTCATCCTGGACTGTTACCCCCTTCCACCCCTCCGCCCCTCCACTCTCCCTCTCTCTCTCTCTCTCTCCTACACCTCTTCCTTCACTCTCCGCTTCTATGACACCATCGACCTCTTTCCTTGTCTTTTTCCTCTCTCTTTTCATTTTTCCGACCCTCCCGCCCTCCCTCCCTTTCCTCTCTCTCTACAAATGTTTCTGTCCACTCTTCTTACTCCAGTCCTGTTTCCGGCCGCGAGGCGCACATCGCCGCACAACGCTGCACCGGGGGTATCCCGGCCAGCCGGCACAAAATCAGGCGCGGTTTTTACGGGGGGGGGGGGGGGGGGGCCCCCAAATCCCCCCCCCCCCCCCCCCCAGGGTAGAAAGGCAAATCTGTCCAACAAACCCCCTGAAAATAGGCAACCCCCAGTAAATCGCTCATTCCTGTCGGACGGACTTCAAACCGCCTGCGCCTGCGCAAAAGACGGACTTTAATCTGCCGGCGCGCGTTAACCACTTTATCATTGAATTAGACCGCTGTCTGGCCCGGCCGCCGCCGTGTTCCTCGCATAATGAATGGGACGCGATGGGGAAGGTATAAAAATTCCTCGGGGGCCATTAGGCGAATCGATGTGGCGGATCGGTCCGGCAAGCGCGATTGGGATTAGGTGCGGCGTGGCTTGGGGGCAAAGCCGTCGGGCCGTCGGGAAGGGCAAAGCGGGGTGGCCTGTACCCACACCCCTTACCAGGCCGACTGAAAGTAGGGCTGGAAATTTCCAAAATTTTCCGAAATATTCCCGAAAATTTCCGGCAAATGACTAAAAACTTCCAAAGTCTTGGAAATTTTCCATTTTTTTGACGGAAATTTTCCGTATTTTCCTGAAATTATCCGGGAACTTTCCAGGGGTTTCATCGATAGCTGCGTCCGTTTTCCTCACACATGCACTGTTCGGCCAGTATTACCGGAGACCTCGGCGCGCCTGCGAGACTCGGGGTAGGCCACCCCGCAGCACACGCATGCACCGAAGGCAAGATGTTGCCTACCAAGCGGGCGCTATATGAGAGCTTTGCACTGTCTAAACTTGGCAATTTCCTGACGGCGATTTTATCAAGAACTTGTAAGAAGTGGAATGTTATATACACACTGTATGTGCCGAGAGTGCGGTCCGACCCGGCATGTGGCCTACCCTTACTATACAGCCAGCCGCCCCCGCCCCATACCCGCTCCCACCCTCGCCTCGAGACTGGCCTGTGCTCGCTCGGCCGGACAAGGGCTGGGGACGGGGCCGATTTCAACGAATAAATAGCAGAGCGCTGTAGCTTTTACCTGGGGGCCTGAGGCGGCCGCCGTGAGGGGGACGGAAAAAAGGGGTTTGTGTGGCTGGCGGGGCTTGGAGGGGAAGGGGGGGGGGCAGCATCCGCCTCAGTGTCAAAGCGGAAAGCGGAGCGGGGAGGAGGGATGGGTAAGAAGGGAAGCGGAGGGAGGGGCCAGGCTGCGGGCCCAACTCACTTGAGCGAAAAATCAAAGTCTCCCCGAAAAGTTACTCCTGCTGCTGCTGAGCGCAGGGCTTGTGCGGTGAGGCGGGCCGGCCCGCGGCAGAGGCACCGAGCAGACCCGTAGGCCGGGCCGGGCAGGAGAGGGCGAAATAAGAAAAGATAAAGAGCCCATCAGCCGGTAAGGCGCGGCGGCAAGTTAGCGGGAGAAGGCGAAGGGGGAAAGGTGCGGTTGGAAGGGGAAAGAAGAGGGAGGACGAAAAAAAAATTGCTCCACCACAAAGACATTGTGGCTGCGGAGGCTGCAAAAGACACTGGAGCGTGAGGGGGGAGGGAGGGAGGCGGAGAGGTGCAAAAAGATTTGAAAGGACCGAAATGAATGGGGGAGGTAGAGACAAGGGGGTGGGCAGGGATGGTGAAGACAGCGCAGCCGGAAAGGATACGGAATTATACAATCGGAGAGAGAAGTTATGTCTCTGGTTTCGATCGGTTTCCGAGAAGTACCGGCGGCGGGGGTGGGGAGGATTCCATAATAAATAACCCGAGTACACAGTCACAACAGGAAAAATGGATACAAAATAGAAGCAGAGTAAGCGCTTCATCGCAGCACAGTGCCTACACCACAGCGCGTCCGACCTGGAAGAAAGAGGGTCGTGCGGAAAAGAGTTGGGGAAAGGAGATGGGAAGAGAGGAGGGATAGAGCGGGGAGGAGGAGGGGAGGAGGAGGAGGCGGAGGAGGCGGAGGAGGAGGCGGAGGAGGAGGCGGATCACTCGCCTGCAAGCAGTGGAGCTCCCCGCCCCGAGGCCTGGCAGGGGGCTTCGCGTGACAAGTCTTATTTTTCCGCGCCTTCCTCCCCGCTTCACCCTTCCCCCCTCCTCTCCCCCGGGATCACATTAGGCCGTGTGCCGTGTACCAACACACAGCGTGTGATATCTCCAGGCAGGCAGCAGGGGCCCCCGCCGCCCCCGCCGCCCCCGCCGCCCCCGCGTGGCCGCCACACCGACGCCGCGCCGCAGCGCCGCGTAGTGAAAAGTTTTTCGTACTAAACGTAATGGACGCTTGGAAAGGGAGAGATGCGGGAGGTGCGGGTAAAAGAAGAAGACGGCGGCGGAGGGCGGAGGAGGAAGAGAAGGGAGGCGAGCGGGCTGGGGACCGGGCCCGGGCCGGGCAGCGGCGCTGAGTGGTGCTAAGGTGCTAGGCGCGGCCGGGCCAAGCCCGCCGAGGACCTGGCCCCGTGCCCAGCCTGCCCCGCTCACCCCGCCCCGCTGGCTCCGGTCCTGCCGTGAACCCCGCGCCGCTCTCTGGGGAGACGTGCGCAGCCGCATGCATTTCGTCGCCGAGCTCGCGGGCCGGGCGGGCGGGCGAGCGGACGGGCGGCGGCGGCGTGCCCTGGAGAGGCACTTTAGCACTTTACTACAGGTAGCACTGAGTACACCGAGAGGTATACACGCCAGAGGTCGTTGTCGTGGAGAGGGGTGGGGCCAGGCTGGCCGCCAGGCCGCCGCGTGTCGCGCGGGCTCAAGTTGGTAGTCCTGCCTACAGCGACCTGCGCTCGTAAAGCACCGCGCACCGCCGCACCGCGCCACGCCACACAAACTTGCAAATGATCAAGTCGTTGGCACGCCTGCTCCACAATGTGCCCTCCGCTACTGTTGCCGCTGCTGCTGCCTCTACAGAGGCCGGGGCACGCGCGGTCAAAGTTGCGTTGTTTGGACCAAACAAAGTCTCTCGCGGTGCTTATATATTTTCTCGCGTGATCGTGATTTAAACTCAGCGGACGGTGACCCACCCAAGGACTCGGCAGACTTCATGCACAGGTCGATGATCTCGGACACACCCATCAGCGCGCGCGCACGTCTACAACGAGGTCTGCTTGCTCAGCCGCAAAATAACGTGTGCGCAAGAGTGGCTCAGCCAATAACGCGAGCACGCAGCCGGGAAAGCAACCAATAACGTGACCCAAAACAGTGCAGCTCAACCAATAACGCGAGAGCTGAGGTCTCAGAGTGAAACTCTGGCGCTGGACTACTTACAGGATGGTGGTGTCGGGCGGCACCCTGGGCACGTGGTCCAGCTGCAGGAACATGCAGCGCACGGTGGTCTTGAAGCAGACGCAGCGGTTGGGGCAGTGCTTGGCCGCGTGGCCGGCGCCGCTCCACGCGCGGTGGCCGTGCCCTCCCGCCGGGACGGGGCCGGCCGCGGTGGCGGCGGCGGCGGCGGGGACAGCTGCGGTGGTGATGGTGGACGCGGCCGCGGTGGCCGCCGAGCTGACCGCGGCGGTGGCCGACTCCGTGGGGACCGTCGGCGGCGCGGTGCTCGCGTCCCCGGAGGCCGACAGCGCGGCCGCTGCCAGGAGCAGCACGCACGTCGCCAGGGGGGTTCGCCAGGTCGCCGCCATGGCTGGAGGAGCGCTGCTGCCCTGTCGAGTTGAGAAAAAATGACAAGGCATGAAAATGATGAAAATGTGATCCCTTGCGGACGAGGGTGTCGTCCGTCGTGATTCTCTCTTGACAGCCGTTCACCACGCCGTTCCTCTAAAAGTACCCCCCCCCCCCTCCAGCTCTTTTCTCCGGTGTGCGTCGCCCCACCTTGTCGCCTGGCCCTCACTGACCCGGGCCACGACGGTGGCGGCGCGGAGGCGGAGTCGGGGGCGAGGGACGGCGCTCTGATAATCAAGCTGGAGAGCCCCTCCTTTATCTCGATAGCGCTCCGACACGCACCGTTGGTTGCGCTGTCCTCGGGCAGTCTCTCCCCCGTCTCCCCAACCCCCGCCCCCGCCCCCGTTTACCCCGTGCTCACCGCAACTCTACTGCCGCCGCCCCCCGGACAGGGGAAACCCAAACCGCTGCTACCAAACGGCTGGGACGTGTTCGAACTAACCTAACTCGCCTGCCAAAACGACCAGAACGCGAGCGGGGTGCGGGACCAAAGGAGGGGGCGGCGGCGGGGCGGGTGGAGGGCGGATATACAGCGCCACTCGCAGGGAGCGGGAGAAGCTTCTCTTATTTCCACGCCTGTTTGCTGTTGACGTTCTTTTCGGCTGGGTACACGGACTGTTTGGCGCACCCGACCGGAGGAAGGGTCGGGGAGGGTGAGCGAGCGGCCTCAGCGGTGTTACATGCGCGTATAAAATGTCACCCCCTAAAAATCGCGACGGAAATAAAAAGGAGGTTTACGCAGGTTTTACTCCGTGCGCAGGTTATAACGTCCCACGTGCGACAATTTTCCAAACTGAGTGAAAAGCAAAGAGTAATGAATGAGGTCTTTTAGGCGTAGCGCCGTCCCTGTCCAAAGCGGAAGGTGAGCGATTGTTCTAGCAGAGGTTAGGATGCGTTTCGTTTTGGATTTCGAACGGTTTAGAACGGGTCTATGCATCTAGCACCTTGGTACCACCTATACCAAGGTTTATTACGACAGTTGAGTCATCACCATTGAGTTAAAATGGTACCAGTACACTAACCTAAACAACACGACACCGGGACGGGTAGATGATTGCGAGAAGATTGTGTTAACTTACTTTTGCGAAGACATACTTTACAGAAGCACTTTTTGACACAAGATTGCTTGTGCAAGAGTGCTTTGGCCCAGCAGTCGTAACGCGCGGAACGAAAATGGCCCGTTTCGATCGCGCCAACGCGCGCGCGCGCGCCGAACGGGGTGCGTTTTACAGCGTTTTATTTTTCATAACTGTCGTCGCGTCGTATAGGTTAGGTTGGTTCACCTGCGTGGGTTCGGCGTCGAGCAAAGCAGCACAGATCGCCGGGCCGGATAACCGTCGATACGCGCTGGCCAGCGAAACGAGCGTGAAATCACGTGAAGCGTTGAAAATGTCTGATGGTTTATGGGTTTGGTTTATCTTTTGAGGAGCACCGGGAGCATCTCCCTTCCTCGTATCCCCGCTCTGCGCGACTGGCTCACCCGTCAGGGCCTCACCCCGCAGCCCGCACCACGCCAGCGCGCTGTGGCCCGCCCCGTCGGCCGGAGCCGCAGCGCCGCCGCCGCGTTCTCCTTTTATTAGTCGCAGTAAAAGGGAATACAACCCAAACCTGTCGGCGCGGGGCGTTTCGCGCGGCCGTTTCCCTTTTAATCTGGGCGCGTCCAGAACGACTTGTTAACCGGACCTTCAAACTTTTACGGTCCCGCCTTTTAGCCGGCAAGTTGAACGCGGACAGGCACTGCTGCTGCTGCTGTTTGGGAGTGTGTGTGTGGGGGGGAGGGGGGAGGGGGCAACACATAGCTGGACCTGGCTGGACACGAGCGCGGGGGCTCGCCGGCCTGTGCCTGTGCGCGCCGATGCTGCTAGTGAAGAGATCACACGGCCCACTGGGCGCAATGCCGCGCCGCGCCCTCATGCTGGCTGAGGTTGACAACACCCCCCCCCCC